GTCATCCAGAAATTAGAGTGCTGGATCAACAAGTTGTGAAGAAACCTGTTTATACAGGAATCCACCCTGAGGGCAGTGGGACAAGGCAGGAACGAGGAGAGTCTTGAAGGAGAAAAGGGCTGGAGATGACCAGCTCTGGTTGTAGGACATGCTTGACAGGAGATGAAAAATTAATTTCTGATGAGAACCATAGGATCATTTATGTTGGAAAAGACTTATAAAATCAGTGAATCTTATTTTAACCCCACACTGCCAAGCTCCCCCATCCCTGCAGAGCTGCTCACCCCATGCATGGCTGCCCAGGGACAGGAAATATCCTGCCTCTGCTCAAAGAGGAAATCCAGTGAATTGTGGTGGTTTCTTTCCCCCATGAGGATTTCCTCACCTGTGCACTGTGGCAGGGAAGACAGACACACATTCTGCACTGTTCCACTGTTCCTGGAGTCCCCTGCAGAGGTGTTTAAGTCTTTGGGTTTTGGTGCTGTAGGAGAGGGAAGGGTGTCACCAAGGCTCCATGTGGGCTGTGTGCAGGGGACAATGATCCCCGTGCAGTGTCTGTCTTACTCCTCTGTCCAGATTGTCCTTGGTTTTTGTCCTTGGTTTTTTGGTGTTTCCTTTGAAATACAGTACATTTTAGTGGTGCCTAAGTGGGTTTTTTGTCATCAGGTCTCATTTACCAGTCCCTAAAGGCCTGACTGTCATCCCAGTACTGTGTGACTTCCCCTCATAGGACAGTAATGTCAAAATCCTCATGTTTCTTCTCCTTTTCCCTTCCTCTTTTCCCTCATCATTTGTGGCTGAATTGAGTTTATTTGGGTGGGATTCCAGCATCCAGCTTGTCGTGCTTTGCCCAGGCCCAGCGCGTTCGGGCCCTCGTTAGCGTAACGCTGCTCGTAAGGCAAATGTCAGCAGGAATCCTGACTTAGAAATTTCTCAAGAGTTCATCGAGGGAGAGTTTATCTTTCAGCAATGACCTTTCCTGTTGAACACGGATTAACGTGCAAGCAGGGTCTGTGTGAGCGCGGCAGTTTGCCAGAGAAGGCTCTGGATGCGCATCCCTGTGCTCTGCCTGGAGCCTCCTGCCCCTACCTTGGCTTTGGGTTCCAGCTCTTGGCTCCTTGACATAAAACACTTGGCTGAACGTGGAGAAGCATCTCACACATGTGTTAAATGGGGATAAAGGCGCTCTCCTGAACAATGGGTTGCTAATAAAGCCTCACTGCCTGAAGAGGTCCAGCTCTTGCTGTGCCAGCCCTGCACAACTCCCAATTCCACCAGCACCAATATTGGCATTAAAAGCTGCTGGGGCTGCTTTATGAACCCACTTTATTTTATATCACTCTGTGTCCCATCTCACTTTCCCTCACTGCTTTTCAGTGCTCCCCAAGCCACTGTGACACTGGGCATAGTAAGCCTGAGGCTCCCCAAAGCCTGTCCCTCTGGCCTGCAGGCAAACATTCACCTGCTGATCAAAATTCACAGGCTCAGAGTCTTTTCTGTAAGAAAAAACACAGCAAATTCAAAGTGAGGCAAGCAAGACATTAACCTGCCCTGTTCCATCACTGCCAGAACTCCTGACTGCTGGCTCTTGATCTCCATCAGCACAGGAAGGAGCTTCTGTAGCCCAGAGGATGGAGGATCGCTGGGGCTGAAGATAAAAGGTGGTTGGCTGTGACTCTCCTGACCTTGATCTATCACAGGGCTTCCTGGGGACACTTGGGATTGTGAATTTTGCATAGAGGAAGCCTTCAAGCTGAAGGTGCTCAGGCACAGTCTCAGAGCTGTGAAGTTGCCTGCTGCAGGATGGTTTCCTGTACAATTGGTTGGGAAATGGGACCTGAAATGGGTCCTTTGCTGCCAGGACTTCCTGAGTGCTGGCAGTTCTTGGAAGGGGAGAAGACGGCCCTGCCAGCCCTCAGTCAATGCTGAATCAGTCTGATGGATCCAGTCAGCTCAGCCCATGGCTCTGCTGGGACCCAGCAGTGGGTCAGGCTTTGCTCCTGGTCCTGGCATCAGTCGGGGGTTCCCTCCCCTCCATGGACAGCACAATCCCCTGACAGTTTCTCAGCAACAAGCTTCCAAACATCTGCCCCAATTTCTGTTCTTGCCACGGGATGTTGGTGGCCAGGGGAAGGTCTCCAATTCCTTCCAGCCTGCAAGGAATTAACGTCAGTACTCAGCAATTCCCACAGTCCACAGCAGCTTTGGACAACTTCTGACAACCTCCAACATCAAGAATTTTGTCCTAAGGACACAGGTTTCCAAAAAGTATTAACTTTTCTTAGTGATGCTGTATCTGAAGTCTAGAGGATTGCACGCATTTTCCCTTCTTCCTTCTAGCCTCAGGGTACTCCAGGTTTGTGTAAAACCAGCTCCCTTCCAGGTAGTTCTTGCCAGAGCACATCAGGATTTGCATGTTGGGGAAGTTGTTCAGGGTCCCTTTGCTGTGGTAAAGGTGTCTCTGGCTCCAGGTGAGCTCACCTGAGCTCCTGGAAGAAGACAAATGTGTGACAGCCAACCATGGCTGAGCAAATCATTCAAATACAGCTTTCTGGGGCTGCTGAGCCTCCTGCTAATTATGGGAGCTTTCTGTTTCATTTATAGGGTCTGGAGAAAAGTGTCGGCTCTGGAAAAGCTTCCAGCTTTTTCTGTGGAGTTTTTCAGGCACCACATGGAGAGGTGCCAGGGCATCCCAGCTTCCATACAGCACTTTCCAGGCTGTGGAGCAGCCTTTGGCATGCCCGTTTTCCCTCCCGTGAGCAGTGTGGAGCGTTGAACCCCTGGTCCGTAGATGTAAAATCACCTTTTCATTACTACCCAAATAACCCATTGCCAGCTCTGCCTGCAGGTGTGAAAGCCTTACTTCCAGTCTTAAATGAGAGTGGGATGTGGGGTGTGGGGGCACAGAGATTCTCTCTGGTTCCTCAGTTGGTTGTTCTGGAGGTTTCTGGTGCTGCTGTGGGGTTTGCAGGAGTATTTTACTAACAGGATGCTTCTGGCCGTGCCGGGTCCCGCTGTTGCTCAGAGCAGCCAACTGGGTTTTCTGTGTGACTTGGCAGGAAAATTCACATCCATTTTATTGAACCAAAGGGAAGAAAAGGGGGGAAAAGTGCTGGCTTCTAGTAATAAAGGGCTTTGGAACATCTCAGCTGGATATTTTTCTTCACGAGTGAGAAGGCCAAATGTTATCTTGACATTTAATCTTTAATAATAAAAAAAGGCTCTTTGTTTGCCAGCGAAGTCCAAAATCTGTTTACTCTCTCATGCCTTATTTCTTTTAACTTGCTAGCTTAGATGTCCTACTTACCCTCCCCTGCTTCCAGTTCACAGCTGAGGTGAATCATTTATTGTCCAGAACTGACTTCCTTGTCACCACAGAGCCACCAGCTGCCAGGGGCACTTTCCTTGACCAGAGCTGGGGACCCCTTGGGCGATGCAGGGAAGGGCCAGGGCAGCAGAGGTGCAGCCTGTGCCCACCACAGCACTTTGGTGAGAGCCTGGTGGCTCTCAGGTGCTCTCCAGGCCCAGGAGAGCCCTGTGGTCAGTCCGTGCAGCTCTGACCCACGGACAAAGGGCACTCCAGGCCACCAGACTTCGTAACCCACTCAGGTGTTTAATGAAGATCACGGGGAGTTGCAGCCAGAGGAAAAGGCTGGAGTAGCCTTGGGGCAGCCTGGAAGGGTGGAGATGGCGGTGGCGGGGTCGGGTGCCCGGGCAGGGTCTGGGGCAGGCTGTGGTGTTGGGCCCACGTCCAGCCCCATTGGCCATCGTGTCCTGGCGCTGCCCGTGGTGGGAACACGGTGGGGACACGGCGGGGACACGGGGGGGACACGGTGGGTTTGGGCAGACCAGGCTCCCTGTGCTCCCCAGGGACCTTGCAGGTACCACCCAGGTGTAGCTCCAGCTTCCCGCAGCCATCTCCATCCAGCTCCTCCCAGTCCACTGACTTTTCTTTCACATTGAAACTTCTTCCTCATAAATTCTACATCCAAGAGCAGCTGTGAGAAATGCCTGAAGCCTGATCATCTAACATGCTTTAATATCTAAATTTCTTCTTCAGTATCATTCTTGTTTACATTGTTTTTCTTTCTCAAAAAAACCTCAAAAATTAAGGGAGGAAAAAATTAAATTTTCTTTTACTTCCACATTAGGAGGTGAGTTGTCATCCACCCTCTGGAATTCTTTTTTGCTTTTGATCTTTATTTATTTGTTTAATTTTGGTTGATGTCCCAAGCATGGTTTTGGAGACGAAGGTAGGTCTTCGCTCTCCAAATCAAAAGGAAAAAAAATAAATAAAGCAACACACTCCTTGGTCATATTTAAAAGAGAAAAATCCAAACTGTTCAATTCCATATCATTTGAAGAAAAAAAAAAATCAACTATTGAACTATTTCTACAGCTTACTGATCTAAAAGGGCGGGTTTTTTCCAAAAGTATCGAATGGATCCAAAAAACGATATTCCTAGACGTGATTCAAGTTATTTGCTGTCAACATTTTAATATCAATATTACCACAATGTGTAGTCTCAAACTAGTTCCTTTGTAGTTTGCATGGGATGTGAATGCTGTCTCGGCGTGCCCAGACCTAGAGAACTTGTTACTACTGCATGAGCATCAAGTCAGATGTTGAAAAATACCTATTACATTTTGTGATAATTTGGTGAAAATGAGCACCTCCAGTCTCTGGTTGCAGTAGTGTGTTGAATGATTGTTCTTTTTTATTTTTTATTTTTTATTTTTTTTATATATATCCATATATATATTTTTGGAGCTCTAAGCTTCGTAGTAGTCCGGGCTGACTCTTCTCCAGTACTTGCTCTCCTCTCGCATGGCCTTGGTTAAGTGTTAGAATTGGGCCTAGGCTGTTTATTCTGGTGTTTGGCTTTGTAATACCGGTGCATGCCCGGCGTCTGGCCTCATACCCAGCTTTATTCTCTGCACACCAGTCTTGAATAGCTACAGTGCTCAACCGAATTTTGGCGCACCCGCTTCCCCGGCAGGCTCCAACCCAGCGCGGCCCGGAGGCTTCCCCGGGGCCAACAGCCCCGGGCCCGTCGCGGATCTCTACGGCACGGCCAGCCAGGACTCCGGCGTGGGTAACTACATAAGCGCCGCCAGCCCGCAGCCGGGCTCCGGCTTCGGACACGGCATCGCCGTAAGTACCCGTGCCAGGGCGGGGCTCGTGTCTGGGGCTGCGGGAGGGGCTCGGGCCGGGCTGGGGTGGTGGTGGCCCCACGGCGAGCGTGGCCTCTCGCTGCCGGAACCTGCGAGCGATGCCCGAGCCAGCGCTGCGCTCCTGGCTGGAGTTGTGGAGCAATCATTAGTTACCAGGGCCTTCCAGCTGGAATCGGTAAGGTTGGAAAAAACCTCTAAAATCATCGAGTCCAGCCTTTGACCGATCCCCAGCTTGTGAACCAGACCAATCACAAATGGCCACGTTTCCAGGGATGGTGACTCCACCACGCTGGGCAGCCCATTCCAGTGATAAGTCTCTCTTACACTGAAGAAATTTTTTTCTGAATGTCCAACCTGAACATCTCTTGGTGCAGACACTCCTTTGGAACTATCTGCAGCCAGACACGACATGTCTCAAAGGGCCATATTTAATAAATATGGGATTTAAATCCCTGCTTGTCCATATGGACCCAACTACCCCTCCTGGCTGATGCACCCTTTGGCGGGTAGAGCAACAGTCCCTGCTCCCACTAAACGAGCAAAATTAGCTCTTTAATTTGGCTGGTGGGACCCTCTTCACCTGTTTGCTGTCCTTTGGGGTCACTTCCAGCCAGTCCTGGCATCCCTGGCAGCCCCTGAAAGCCGCAGGTTCCGAGCCAGGGCCCCGCTGGTCTGCGGGGTCACCGGGAGGTGCCTCCTAACGCCGCGTTGGGTCTGCGATCGCACTAATGAGGGGCAGAGATTGGCTTAACAAGGCTGCACGTGGCTGTGTCACCTGTGTGTGAGCATGAATGGGGCTGCCTCCGCCCCGCTGGCACCCCCAGCACAGAACAACGGAGGCTCCTGCCCTTTTTGGAGCACAGTCAGGAGTTGGTTTTTATCTCCTGGACACCGAGGAAGTGCAGAGGCTCCCCCAAAAGTCCCTCAAACCAAGAGGAGAGCTTCACTCCCTGATGGAATTGGATGGGGGGAGCAGGAGTGTAGTGCAGACAAAGTTCCTGAAACTTATTTTTATTTTAAAAAAGACAAACAAACCCTCTGCCTCACTTTGTGCCCAGTTCCCATCCTGGGCCTGCCCCTCCCGTGGTCACACCGTGGACTTGACAATCCCTGTGGATCAATTCTAGCACAAACATGGAATATTACTGCTCTGCAAGGAGCTATATCAGTTCAGACTGCCACCTCTCACCACTTACAACACCTCTTATTTCCGTTTTTCACCTAAAAACCTGTTTGTGCTTGAAAACTTGAGTACTTTGGTCTCAGCAACATCCCGATTTTTCAAGTGATTGGACACCAGGTGCAAGCCTGGGTATCCAGATTTGTCTGCACTAACACTTCCCAAAGAACCATTTTATAATTGACTTGCAGATTGGCAGCCTCTTAATTCCCCCAATAACTGCAAAGAATCCCATAGCTTTTATTACATATATATTTACTTAACACTCTCCATTTACTAACCCTGGTTTAAAAATAAAGAAGGGAAAACCCCAAAGCTTATTTTTGCACCTGGGGGAATGAGAAGATGATGGTCTTGGAAAGGTGACCATAGGGTGGAGCACACCTGGTGACCAGAACAGCTCTTGGAAATCCCTATTCATGCTGGCAACACAGTCTTTCAAATCCTTTGATAATTTCTTGGCAAAATTAATAATCAGCTGTTCCCATGTATAGAGCACTGATGAACTTAACAATTGTACAATTTTAGGGACCTTTGATTGCAACGGCTTTTACAAATGGATACCATTGAAACGTTACACATGGTTGGTTGCCATCTCACTTGGAGGTATTACAGTATATCCCATTTGTACTTTGTGCTGAACTACCATCTCCCCTATATTTACTTTAAGTGAACAATTTTTTATCTTCATTTTGTCTTTCCTTGGCCTTTAATCATTCCTTTCTGTGATTTGTGTTACTCAAATCAACCTCACAGGCTGGAAACTGGACGACAGATCCAAAGCTAAACCCTCCAAAAGTCACTTTTTCATCTTCATGATGCTTCATGCAATAATTTGAAGAGGGAGAAAACCCAGAAAGCTGTGGGGAATCACCCCCAGTGCCGGCAGCCAGAATCCCAGTGGGATCAGGGATCTGCTCCCAGTGCTCTGCTCTAAAAGTAGCTGAGCCCCACTGCTTTATTACTGAGAAACCATCATTCTTAATTAAGTGCTGTACCAAATATTACAGCTAAAAGATAACATTGTAACTTGTAACCATAAAGCAATTATCAAGATTAAAAAAAAATTAAACCTGAGCAAATTAAATTAAAGGCATTACCTGAGCACCGCAGCCCTGGATCACTGCCAGTTTCCTACCCTTTGAACTAAGCTTGAGTTAATTAAATGTTTAATTTTTATTTTTTATTATTATTTGGCCTTTGGCATATTCATCTTTGCAAACAAATATTCTTAGCACTCGGAATGGAGTAGATTAGAAAATGCAATGAAAAACAGAAGTTATCCCAATTAAATGGCACGGGTTTGCCTCCAGAGCTCCGAGCCCGGACAGGCAAAGGGAATAGATGTGACAGATTTTATTTCCCTGCTTCTTACCCAGCACTACATGATCAATGTCACATCACTTACGTTCAAAAATCAGTCTACAAAATTAGAATCAAAGTTAGTCAGGGGGCTGGGAACTGTGGAAAACATTTGGAGACTTTAAACTACATAAAAATAGATTTATACATAAACACTAGTGGATAAAGGGGGTTTCTATTTACTCTCCATCTCCACACACACCCCCAAGATCACCTGAAATTGTTCTGTCAATTGATTTGCTCCACCAAGGAGCGTTTTTTATGGGAAAGGAAAAAGTGCCATAAGCACTGTTGCTTAATCCCAGCTATGACTTGCACGTAGCGGTGTCTGCTCGCCGATCAATTTGTCAGAATCCTTCACGTTTCCTGGGCCGTCAGCCTCTGGAATAGTGAGGTGGTACCCGAGGCCAGCTGGAGCCCGAGCAGAACATCATAACTCAGGCTAATAACGCGCGGTGACGGCAGCTCCGCCAGATTGATGGGCTGTAATCACTCCTCACTTAGCACAGCCCATCGCCGCAGCCATCAGTTACTGGCCAGCGTTGAGACTCAAACCATTAACGACTTAAAAACAAAGTGCTTTTAATGTTGCTCATTACTAATTAAAATAGATTTTGAGAGGAGGAAATGAGCCTTATTATTAATTCCTCAAGGAACGCTGAGTTTGAAACGCTTGCGGCAGCGGCTGGTCCTGGCATCCCCGAGGCAGGACTTGGCTGAGCTGCAGGTTCCCAGGGCAGGGATCCGTTCCCACATCCCTGCAGGATGCTGCTGGGACCTCACCCCGAGCACAGCTATTTGGGAATGGCTTTTGGAGGTCATCCCAAAACGACCAGGGAGCATCCTCTCCTGGCCAGCCCCATGAGCAGCTACCTGCAGAGCCAGTGCCCGAAATATTTATATCTCTTTTCTATATTATACATCTCTGCTCTAAGCGCTGGCAGGGACGGAGCGTTGGGGGCTGAAGCTCTGGTATCAAACAAATCCTGGCCACCTCAGTGTGCCCAGATAAAACTTGTCACCTTCCAGGTTCTTCAGGGAAAACTCATTTTAGCCAAAGCCGTGTGAATTCATAGCATAACAGATGCCTGAGGAGCCGTTTTTGTCCTGGCCGTACATCAGCTCCCATTTTACTGTTCCTAAACCAGCCCAGCCAGGCCCCCAGTCCAGGCTTAGCTGGGATGGAGCTGGAAATAAGAGCAGGGAGTACATGAGGCCCCCTGTCCCCTGGGGGCTGTCCTGGGAACACCTCAGTATCCCAGCCGTTCCCTCTGCATCCTCCCTCGGGGTGGATCGGGGACGCCGTGGCCGCAAAGTGTTTGCAAACACTTTGGGTTTTTTTATTAAAAATCCTAATGGACCTCAATTAACTGTCCCTCTCCCATGTCCATGTCCCCCTTCTCCCCACGCAGAGTCTCTCTGGATGTCCGGGCAAGACAGGGCGAAGTTTCTGAAGGGCCCCACGGTTGGGTGATCTCATCAGACTTTGAGCACTACATCATCATCATCATCATCATCATCACCGCCAACGCAAACTGGAGGTGGCACTCGAAGGACTTGGGTTGTTTAAAATCTCTCTCATCATCTCATGAATCTGCTGTACTATAAAAACAACAGCTTTTAAAGTATGTATATAAAACCCATTTCTTGTTCGTTTTATTTTCTCGATGGGTCCCTCCTCCCCTCTTTTTAAGCCTCTCCAAACCCACATCTTTTCGTAGCCTTTTTGACATAGTCTCGTAGCCACGTAGTCAGAATTCTTTGTGTATGTAGCGAGAGCCTAACCATAGTGTAACTGTTATATTAAGGGGTTTCTTTTGCTTTTCTTTCCCACCTCCCCTCCTCCTCCTTCTCCTCCTCCCTTCTGTTTTACGTAGTTGTTGTTGCTTAAAGGATGCTGAGATGGTGACAGGAGCCTGGGCCACGGGGGGAGCGGAGCCAGCGGCGGGTGCGGCACGGGGGGCTGGCAGGGCACGGGGAGGGGGGAGCAACAGGTTCTCTGGCCCTTCTTTTCCTTTGTGGCATCTTGGTTACTCTAATTCTCTCTATTTTCGGCAATAAGGCGAGGGCGACAAACTTTTTGTGCGTCCTTTTTCTATATAAGTGCTTTTTTTTGTTGAAAGAGGTGATATAAGGTTTTTTGAAATTGTGAATTCTGAAAAAAAAAAAAAGAAAAAAATAATAAAATGCTGTAAATACAATTCCATTAACTACATAGAAACTATTAAGAAAGAGAAATACAAACCTATTTTTGTGATGGAGTCAGCCTAAGGCAGTTTCTCTATGAAAATGGATGAAAGAAGACAAGGAAGTTGTAGCCTTTCGGAGCGACTGCCGGAGCTGGCCCGGGGGGCTGTGATGCTGTGGGACCCTCCCAGCTCGCCCAGTTCACACCAGCAGCTCCGCTCTCAGACGTGCACAGCTTACAAAGGAACAGTCTAGTGGGATTTTTATTTTAATTTAAAACCTGCTTTTCCCAAAACTGATCAAGAAGCTACAATTTTTCCTACTTAGCGCATTTACGGTTCAAAGCACACCTTTATTTTGGTTTTGTTTTGGTTTTTTTTGGTTGATTGTTGTTTTTTCTTTTTTTAGACATTGTTTTAAACTAGATCAACTTGCTGTCCAGTCATTTCAGCTGCTCTGGGCACCCTGTGCAGGCAGAGCAGCGTCCAGCTTGCATGATTTCCTTTATTATCCATCACTTTCTGTATTATCAAATTAGAAAACAACTTTGGTTGGTTTTGGTTTTTTTATTTTCTTTTTTTATTTTATTTTATTTTTGGTTTTTTTTTTTTGGGAATACCTCAGTGCTACAAGTTTCACCCTAGAAGCAACGGAAGATTTTAATTTATTGTAGTTGTAAACAGAATTTAAAAGAAATAAAGTATAAAACATCATTGCACTGTGACTGGTAGGGGAAAAACTGACAGTTTCCTATTTGCACATGTTTAATATTTGGCTGTTATATATATGGTCCTCTGTTGGGGGAGGAAACTTATGAAGGATATTTTTTAATTTAATTTTTTTAATATTGGTAAATAGGCCTGCAACAGCAAACTAGAAGTACAACATGGTAGGTGGCATTAAGAACATACTGTAGTGTGGATATATTTCTTCTTTTTTTAACGTAATATTGACAAGTTTTATTAATATTTTTTTAAATTGTTACGTTTATAAATTTGGTACTTTAGGTACAGCCAGTATAAGACACTGAATGCGACATTTGTTAAAAAGAGCTGCTGCACTCCTATTTTTGTAAATTTTACTAACAAGTAGACTAATGTAGACATTCAATAGACAAGGTAGAGCAAGGCATCTTTAACAAATCAAGGCACCATACTGCTAACCGAAAGGAGAAACCTTGTTTTTCTTGTTTTTAAAAAAAAAAAATCATGCTTTTTATGTAATATTTTAGGTTTTTTTCTTATTTCAGAACAACCAGGTTTAAGCAAAATGCTGGACGCTTTTTAAATATTGAGACTTGATCAAGTAATAAAAGAAATAAAACCGAATTCTTTAAAAAATAAAAAGGTAAAAAAAAAAAATACTACGAACCAAATTCCCTGCGATTCAGTGTGTGCCGTCAGGGAATTTTTTATTGCTATTTTGTCAATGTTGATGATGTACTGTACTACCAGTTGGTTTTCCTCTCCATTCCCTGTCACCTCATAGAATATTCTTTGTTGATCATTGTTGTATGTTAATAGTGTATAAAATGGCTTATCTTGTAAGAGTGCTGTCCTGATGGTAGTGTAGTGAATTTTTCCCCCCTCTTTCTCTCTTCCTCTTCTAGTACATATTGGTAGGTGTATCGTAATTAAGGTTAAAAATTTAGATGTAGTTAATCAGATTTAGGACCAGTAAGGATAGAACTTTCTCTTATTTAAGAAAAAAAAAAATGCTAATAATTTTGGGAAGGTTTTCCTTTTTTTGGTTTTTTCTTCTCTTTTTTCTTTCTGTGCTTTTTTTTCCTTGTTTATTATTTTTCTTTTGTTGATCTGATGCGGTTTCAACTAACCAAAGGTCTCACAATGTTAAAAATGCTGGCAAACTCTTAAGGCATTTGTAGATCCCCACCCTTGACTTTGGAAAGGGGATGTGCCATACTACCTTAAATGCTAATGCTAGATATGCAAAACTGGATTTTTTTAATTTATTTTTTAAAAGAGGGAGGCACGGTATATTAAAACGATTTTACTAAGAGAAAAAAAAAAAACATATTTTTTTAAGAATGCTCAGAAGAAATTGCTAATCTGTGTGAATATGTTTTAGATGTTTATATACCTTTTGAGAAGTCCCAGTGGCCCATAGCACAAATGTCGTGGAATCCAAGATGTTTTGATGTGGCTACCTAGACTAAGGTTCACGTTAGTCCCCCACTCATCTAGAAATCAATTTTAAAGGATTTTTTTTTCTTTTTCTTCGTTTGTTTGGGGGTTTTTTGTAAATTTTTCAGCACAGAGGTTCAGCTCCACCTTTGTTTTACTCAAGCCCAGGGAGCGAAGGCCGGTGGAGCCATGGACTGGTTGGGTTGGAGGGACCCTACAGTGCCACCCTCCATGGCAGGGACACCTCACTCTGTCCCAGGGGCTCCAAGCCTGCCCAGCCTGGCCTGGGACACCCCAGGGACACTCACAGCCTCTGCAGCCCTCAGAGCCAGGGAAAAGCTCTCGGCCCCAGCCTGGCCAACACGAGGGGCTCCAGGCTCTGGGTGACCTGGGCCAGGGACATTTCCGAGGAGCCACAGGTGCTTGGGACCCTCCCCCTTCAAAGAACCCGAGTCCTTTGTGATCGGCTTGATTAAAGCAAAGCCTGATCTGTCCTTTGGAGTTTTTATTTTTTCTTACACTTCATAAATGTTCATTTTGAGTTGAATTTGTAGCTTGGACTTTAAGGTAGCATGGCTCTCTTTGCTGTAAGTTGTTTTTTTTTCCATTGTACAGCAGCGTCTGCTGGTGAATGTCACACATCTTGCTAGGCTTAGTTAAACCATTGGGTAATTGTGGGTGATAACGACCTGAAAGGTGTTGGGATTTCTTTTCTTCCCTGCTTTCATCTGTAGTGTGAATGAGGGCTAGCGACTCCAGCCACACTTCCCTTCTTGTTTCGTTTCTGCCATTCACTCAATGCAACATAATCAATAATAAAGCAATATAGTTTACTACATTTTTACTCAAGGCCAGCCATGGTTCTGTATGATATTGCATATGAAACTGTTTACAAAAACAAAAAAAAAACAACAAAAAAATAAAAATAAAAAAAAAAAGAAAACAAAAAAAACCCAACACTAACTCATAGCTGTCTTTTATGCTATGGCAATGTCTCTTGGGTGGAATCTTCTGAATTCTTTTTTTTAATGGTTTGGTTTGTTTTTTTAAAAGCGACACAGTTGAGAGAGGGAGAGCTGAGGTTAGTGTTAGGGCAAAGAGACAGGATGCATCGAAGACACACCGGCAGATCCCGGTCTGCGCACAGACACTGTAGAGTTTCCTACGTACAGAATCCATCGACCCCGTGCGAACACTACGTGAGGAGATTCTGTAAGCTAAGCAATACTTTAATACTGTAATAAAATTACCAAAAAAAACCACAATAATAATAATAAATAATAATAATAATAATAATTTTTAAAAAGAGAAAAAAAAATGTAGTTTGAGAAAGCAAATCCTCGTGGTCGGTTGTGGGCCCCCCCCAGCAGTCTGACTGTGTTGTGTGGAGAGCTCGGTGTCCGAGCAGGGCCCGGTGGTCAGCGGGGTCAGCCCCGGCCCCAGAGCCCCTCGGGCTCGTCTGTCGCGTGACCGTCGTAGGTAGCACCCCCTTCATTCTCTGTCGTACGAGGTCTGAACTCCCATCAGTACTAGGATGCAAGTGAGCATTTCAGGTGGTCATAAATGTACCTAAATAAACTATGGCACAGTGGCAGGCCTAGCCCTTCCTTTTATACTTTAGTATGAACTGATGAGAACTTTGGTAGTGACTTTTTTTTTATATATATACATATATATATGTATCTATATATATCAAGCATCTTTCAGGTCTCTGTGTATGGCTTTCTGAAGCCCTGTTGTAAAATACTATGTGGATGGGGGTCTCTCACATCACAGATGTGGAAAGTATAATTTTATATTTGTATTTTCAAATAAATAAGTTTGTGAAAGGTTTCCATCCTCTACTGTGGTCCAGAAATCAATGTGTTTGTCTGACAAAAAAATACAATAAACTGTTTTGAACAGATCCATGGAGTCCATTTCATTTGGGTGGGGGGGGAAGGAAATATTTGCTCCTGTGGGATGATATCACCCCCATTACCCCAAAATTCATCACCTCGTTGCCCCTCCTGCTCCCACGGGGTGGGCAGCACATCCCTGCCCCGTCCCTGTCCCATGCCCAGTGTCCCAAGGCTGCTCCCTGATCCTGTGCTCTGCCAGGCACATCTCGCATCACTGATCCTATTTCCAGGAGGAGCAGTGGGTGGCCGTGGGCTCCCAATCCTGCTGGATAAATTCCCAGTTCCCCACACGGTTGCTGTGCGTTTTCCTCGCTGGAGTGACGCGCTCCCTCTGCCTTCACAGCCTCCCCAGCTCAGATACTCCACCAGAGGCTGTTTTTCCCTTTGGCACTTGGCCTGGAGCGGAGCCAA